ATTTAGTCACCACATCGTATCATCAATGGTAAATATAACTCACAGTTCTGTGCTTAGTCCATAAATATCATTCGTATCTGAAAAATTTACTCATAGAATCATGGCCTACTTTCTTACTTGGTTTCTCTTAAATAAAATAATTAATTATACCTGGAGATCAAACAAGCAATAAATGCTTTATTGGCCTTATTTAAGGATTGTGAAAAACAGTTTGATGGTGTTGCCTTATCAAACTACCAGAATAGTAAGAAGTCTTAACATTCTCTACAATCTGCATTCTTAAGAAAGGAGATACTTCTTTGGTTAGCAATTACAGACCGGTGACTGTTCCATGCTGTTTTTCCAAGATTCTTGAGTATTGTTTTTTAGATCGACTTCTGCTGTTCTTGGAAAGCAATGACACCCTATCATCCAATCAACATGGTTTCCGTATTGGAAAATCAACCATGACCGCATGTCATTCATTTATCAACAGGTTAGTCTACTGTACTGAGGAAGGAGAATGCCCGGTTGGGATATTTTGTGACCTCAGTAGGGCGTTCGACTGTGTCAGTCATGACATACTATTAGCCAAACTAACAGACTATGGAATTGGTGGTTCAGCCTACCTGTGGATAAAATCGTACTTGCAGAATAGGTTACAATTCGTGGCAATAACATACAACAACGCTGGTCAACTGAAGCAGGTCAAATCGGGTATGGTTAACATAAATATAGGCGTACCACAAGGATCTATATTGGGGCCAGTGCTGTTTTCCCTTTATATAAATAACCTGGAGCAATGTTTCCCTGAGGCACATTTCACGTTGTATGCAGACGATGCCTCCATCATTATATCAAATAAAGACGAGGCTGATTTAATAAATAAATGTAACACCTTAGTGTACAACATCAATATCTGGTTTGAAGAAAATCAGTTACTTCTTAATAGCGAGAAGACCACAGTTATAAGGTTCCATAACATTCAAAAGTCGATACCAGCGATTCAGCTTGTTCTGAACGGTTCAGCACTGCAGAGTGATAAAAGCACTAAGTTTTTAGGGCTCCACTTAGACCAATGTCTCAACTTTAAAGGACATTGCAATTATCTATCATCAAAAATAAATTCACAAGCATATTTATTCAAGAACCTGAGATCTGTTTTCACAGAGAATCAGCTATTGATGTTGTATCATGGTCAGGTTGAGTCTCGCATGCTGTATGCTTTGTGCTTCTGGGGCTCATCGGTGAACGCTTCTAAGGTGTTCCTAAGTCAAAAACGGCTGGTGAGGTGTATGGTGGGAGTAAGCAGCACTTATAGTTGCAGAGAATTATTCAAGAGATTAAAAATAATGACACTGCCTTCGCTTTTTCTCTACAATATGGCTATCTATACTTTTTTAAACAAAGATGATTTCACCTTGAATAGTCATATACATCAAATGGGCACTCGCAGACAAAACGACATCCATATACCTTTTGCGCGTTATAATTTAGGCAGCAGATCACCATGTATTTTAGGTCCTAAAATTTTTAACAACCTGCCTGACTCCATAAAAAGGATCACCTCAATAGGCCAATTCAAATCTGAGCTGAAAAGCTACTTTATAAGTAACTGTTTTTATGCAATTGGCGACTTTGTCAGTTTTTGAATGCGTCAACTGCTTCTTCTGGTGACTGGAACCTTTGACCAAGCAGTCTGTTTTTAATTTTCGGGAAAGTAAAGAAGTCGTTAGGACTTAGATCGGGTCTATATGGAGGATGGTCCAATAATTCCACGTGTTCTTCTCTTTAAATACTGCCTTGTTTTTTGGGCTGTGTGCGAGCTTGCATTGTCTTGGTGGAGGATGAATCTTCTTTCGGGGTTGATTTTTCGAAGCTCGCTGCTGACTATTGGCAAACAAATGGTGGTATACCAATCCGCAGTAACAGTTCTTTGTTCATTAAGAGGAATTGTTGCAATATGACCCGCTTTTGACACAAATGTCGAGACCATCTATTTCGAAACACTTCGAAAACGGATGACTTTTGTTGGCTTTTCTTCAACTAACAATGCTGTACACATTTTTTGAATTGAGGCCTTTGAGATCTCCAAGGATGCCTCAATTTCGCGATATGTCACATGTCTATCTTCAATGATGAGTTTGCGCACAGCATCGACGTTTTCCTGGGTGACTGCCGTTTTTGGTACACCCACCCTGGGATCGTCGCTAAGACTTACCCGACCACGTCTGAATTCAATTCAATTCAATGCAATGGACTTTATTGTAGCACATACATAATTATGTATCCTTACAAATGGCGAAGTCTGGCGAATGGCCATTTATACTGAACGGGAAATTGTCGACTGATGTGGCGCTTCGTTGCCGAAAACAGACAGTAACTCAGCAAGGCATTCTTGTTGCGATAATTGTCTCTGAAAGTTGTAATAAATTATGGCGCGAAAATGTTCTCGGTTGAGTTCCATTTTTCTAATGACTTGGCGACACTTAAAAATTCACTGTAGTGAGAACACTGCACGTATTGTTGTGAAACTTTCAATTTAAGTTTAATAAAGAGTGAGGTTAAGATTCAGTACTGACGTTCGATCCACGCGGCCTACTATGTTTCTATATGCAAAACTTAAAAGACATCGCTCGTAATTATACGATTTTCTAAAATTTTTAGAAACAGGTAGATAACCGTACATATAAACTAGTATACACCTTATATCAAAATAAAGCTTATAAAAAAGCAAATCTGATGGTGTAAATATATACAGGATGTTCCATTTCAAATTCTTGAGAAACACATTTTGCGTTTTGCACCACCCTGTATAAATAAATCATATTACAAGCACTTGATCTTAAAGCTGGGGTTCTTTTTCATCCTCTTTCCGAAATTCAATGAAAAGCTGCGCAAAATGGAAGACGTTAAAGCCCTTCAAAGATTGGCATTATTTTTTTCAGACAAATGATAAAATAACAAATAACAATCAAAACCCTACAGTGTATTATATCAATCTTCTCGTTTTGGGAAGGGGGTGTTCAGTTTAAAAAAAATATGTTTGTTGTGTCACGAAACTGTGCAACACCCTGCATATTTCCAAATAATTTGGAAATTTATACCTACGGGACATCAATGTGGCTGCGAAAGCCTTTTACAGTTTTCTATAAAACTACATTCCATTCTCCTTGGGACACACAAATTTGCTACTCGAATCTCATGTTAAGCTAATTATATGTGCATCTATTCCGAAATATGTTGATAGTTAAAAAAGTAATAATTATCAAGATTGTTTCCACGTCTCATTTTACTACGAAATGTGCTTATTTTCTTTTCCGGATTAGTGGCATGGAATGACAAATTCAATAAAGTTGATAATCACGGATGTTTGAGCAATATTGAAAAACAACAGCAGAACGGAAAAACATAATAAACGTGTATAAGTAATGATATAGATAAGCAATAAAAATGACATGCTACGCGATGCTATTTTACTTCTAACGAAAACCGTTCACGATGGATCGCAAAATTATTGAAACTAATGATCACTTGACGGGAAAGAACCTTTATGTAGCTACAAAAGTGGCTTAATAAACATCACTGATATCGTATTTGAGACAGGAATTTCCCCGTCCGACATACTTATTTTAGTCTTCAAGTCTGAGCTCCATTTTTAAAAAATCGTTAGTTCCCCGTATGACGTTTGCGAAATTGTTATAAATAACGCTTTTGCGACCATCCGACAAAGGTTTGCAACAAGCTAAGGGTTGCCCGACAAATATTTCTTCAATGTGCTCACCTTGAGCTACACTGCCGTGCTAAGCACAGAGGGGTATCTACAATCAACCTGAAGCTGTGAAAGGGCGTCTGAAGTTTGAATCTCTGAATTTCATTTACTAAATGGACCGAAACAGTTGTTTTAGATTGTCAAATTTTGTAGTTATTTTCTTTACATATAGATAGTTAAATTTCGTGAACATTTCATTTCATCAGCTTAGCTAAGCAGACACAGCCAATTATTAAAAATAATAACTGATGTTTGTATACACAAAATAGGCGTGAGTACAATTTGATACACCGATTGAATTATATCTGCAACACCTAAGCCCTATTTCACGAGTATCCCGTTTTGAAGTCTAGAACTCATATACCTTAAAAAAACATTACATTTGTACAAATACGTAGGATGCGGGATTTTAAGAAAACTATTGTTTTTTGCTAAATACTTTAGTAATTGCAGATACATTCCTCTGCGGTTAAGACGACGGTACAATCACATGTGATTTTTACTAACATTAATCATAACGTAAATTTTTTGAGTTTTACATTTTTTGATAATTTATTAACTGAGGAACGTCGCAACACGATATGCCCGTTCGACGTTGCTGACATACATTTTAGCCTTAACAACTAAATAACAATGCTTTAAAATAAACGCAACTTTTTCGAAAAGGGGTGAACTTGAACTGAAAATAATAATTTTTAAGTGGGCATTGAAAATTGACATTTTTTGGGTTTTCAAACTTCAAACTGCTTATAGCTAGAAAACGTTCAACTTTAGAGATGTTAAGGACCTTTTTTGTTCAGGATAGCTTAAATCTTTGCTGAGTTGACACCCGACAACCTCAAGATTCATGTTAAAGGGCATCAATAAACGTGATTAAGAAATAAACTACACTTGAATAACGTATAAATATATATATATAAGTTATGTACCAGTCTATAGAGAAGAAGATGCTGAACAAGGACTTTTGCCTCCACGTTCCTTTCTTATCAGTTTCAGTATTGTATTTCATTTGTTCTTTACTTTGGTTTGTATAATGAACTTTGCAGTCAGTCTCGATTCAGAACTCATTCTATTAACATCATTGTATTTGGTTTTTCTCAAAAATAAATCTTTTTAAAAACGTTTTCGTTGAAGAAAGATATTTGAGTTATATATATATATATATATATATATATATATATATATATATAGGTATCTATAAAATATTATGGGATCTGGGCCTAAAAATTCGACTGTCACCGCTACTCACCACATTTTTTGACAAGCACATGCGCTGCCAGCAGCTTCAAGCTGTGCACCTCGAAGAGCAGCGGATGGAAGAGTAGCTCCTTAGCCGTGGGTCGATCTCTCGGGTCCGGAGCCAAACACCTCTGGATGAAGTCCTTCTGCTGTTCGTCCTCCAACGACTCAATGGTCTTCTTGACGTTCTCCTCCGTCACCTTGTTGCCGGAATCCCCGTTGCCGATGATCTCCAGTGCAGCCATCTCCAATGCGCACATCCCAAACGAGTAGATGTCTGCCGGAGGGCCCATCTGGGCTGGAAGCACAACAGAGAAAGGGGGCGATGGGTTAAATGACGAGGATGATACAGGCTATATCGAAATAATTCATCGAATTGTTTTAGTTGCTGTGACGAGTCCCCATATCTGAAATGGCGACAGAAATAGCTGAGTTGTACATTTTTATACCATCCTACTCATGAATGGGTGTCCCAAACGTATCACGATCAACGAGTTCGCAATACGTAGGAGCAAACACGCGATTTGTTTTGTTCCACCATATCCTAATCAATAGTTACGGGGTAAGAGCATACTAAAGGTCGATCGGCCTTAAGTCGTCAGTTTGACAGTTGTTGGTACTTCGCATACAATTCCTATTTTTTGCTAAAACAGATGAAAGTTTTCGTACACCTATAGGTTTCAGACAATTGTCGAAAAAGTTTTTGTGGCTGGCAAAAAGTGGTTTTTAGGTTTGTTCGTACAGTGGTCGGTGACTTGTCGATGACAGTGTCTGGGATCCCGATGTGTGAATTCCGTCTATATAGGGTAGCCGAGTGAACGGAATATGTGTGGCGGGATTTTGGACACCGTGACTGACAGGATGACTTAAGCCAAACAATATATTGGATCAATATAGTGATAAAAATATAGCAGCACTAACTGCCATATAATGTTCAACAAGCTACTTACTTTTTAGAAAAAGCGAATCGAGTTCAAGCAAGATGACCCACTATCTTCAATACCAGGTACTCCGCCACTGCATCTGTTTTATGCCGACAATTTTTTTTCCACCTTCTTACATTACGAATTGAGTTGGAACTGTTTATATGCTGTACCGTTTATACATATTTGCTTTCTGTTTCATCCCAGTTTGACAATAACTGAACGATTCGCATCGCAACACAGATAGTATTTCTACCTTGTTGTATGAGAGTATACCCAGTACAATTGAGTACTTATTTAAAGAATGTACGCCGCATTTTACAATTTGGTAAAATGATACAGACATTCATTGCAAGTAGTGTGTGTATATTGTGAAGACACACACTACTTGCACACACAATCGACACAAGTGCATACAAATCTTACAGTGCGGCCAGTACACCTCATACTTCTATATAACCAGACAAAGATATATTGGAGGAAAATATTTTTTACAATCTCCAGGAGACTTTGTAGTATAGCTTATGGTCGGAAAATTATAAATTGAGACGGATAACGATTGTGATACCGCCCTTGAGCTGATACAGCGTAACTATGGCTCTAGTGGAAGAAAACAACCCACGCAGCATGTGAGTGACATATGTATTTGGGTTACCCACCCATCAGAGGTAGTTCTTCTCGGTGATTTCAATGCCCATAATGAGCTTTGGTTGGGCTCAAATAAGACCGATGCAGCAGGTCGTGCAGTCGAAGCGTTCGCTCTTACTCAAGGGCTGACCCAGCTGGTGACGAGCCCTACTTTTTTCCCCCGCGTCTCGTCACACGCCAGTAGCCTGCTGGATCTCTTTCTGACCACGCATCCTGCCCCTTACAGCACTGCTGTCCTGTCCCCCCTGGGTAACTCAGATCACGGTGTTGTGGAGGTTAGGTTTTGGTCAGAAGCCGCTGTGGCAGGAGAAACTCGCACAGGCCTCAAAACTTGCCATTACGGACATGCCGACTGGGAGGGGCTCAGAGACTTCTTCTCTAGCTTTCCTTGGAGAGATGTCTGTTTCACTGACTGTTCACTGTCTGTTCTTCAATAACCGAAATTATCCACGTCGGAATGGAGGAATACATCCCTCATACAGTGAAAGTTCCTAAACCAGGGTCCAACAGCTGGTTCAACAAATCGTGTGACACTGCTCGCCAGCAGAAGATCAAGGCCCACAGAACCTACTTACAAAACCCCACTGTAGAGAACAGACAAGCCGACGTCGAGTCCAGAAACAAATATAACGAAGCGGTTCGCAATGCCAAAAAACAGCATGATATAAAAGTTAGGCACAGGGTAATGTCGCAGCGCAATGGCAGTCGGTCTTTCTGGACGCTGGCCAAGCAGATTGAAAAGAACTTCTCACACAGTAGCCCTCCACCACTTACGTGTCAGGATGGAACTATTGTATTCGACTCAAAGGCCAAGGCGGAAGTGCTAGCCAAGATTTTTGCTGCCAACTCCACCATGGACGTCCCCACCAACGCCCAAGTGCCGTCAATTCAAAGGGTTCCCCACACTATGCGGGAGGTAACATTCAGGCATAAGACCGTAAGACGAGTGCTCTTGTCGCTCGTCATCAACAAAGCTTCTGGTCCGGACTTGATTCCTGCCATTGTACTGAAGAGATATGCAGCGGAGCTTGCTCCAGTTCTTTCGCGTCTCTTCCAGATATCTTATGAATCCGGCACCTTCCCAGAAAACTGGAAATTTGCTCATGTACAGCCCATCCCAAAAAAAGGATCTAAGATCGACCCTTACAACTACAGGCCTATAGCTCTGCTTTCTGTTATAAGTAAAGTGATGGAGAGGTGCATAAATCGCGAGCTTCTGGACTACCTCGAACGTCACAGCTTGATTAGCGACAGGCAGTACGGTTTCCGGCACCAACGATCCACAGGGGACCTCCTAGCTTACGTCACGCAACTGTGGAGTAAACTCATCCAGTCTCATGGTGAGGCTCATGTCGTTGCTCTTGACATCACGAAAGCGTTCGATCAGCTGTGGCACGCTGCCCTCTTAAGCAAACTTCCATCCTACGGCCTCCCAGAAAAGCTTTACAGATGGGTGGCTGACTTTATCTCTGGCCGCAAGATATCCGTCGTAATTGACGGATTCTCCTCTTCATCCCACAACGTCAACGCAGGTGTTCCCCAGGGATCGGTCTTGGCTCCAACACTGTTTCTCTTACATATCAACCACCTCCTTTCCTGCACGATCAACCCAATCCACAGCTTCGCTGATGACAGCACTCTACATGCAGGAATTCAGAGTGACAAGCCGATCTCTGCCGCTGAGCTGGAAAAAAGAAGACTAGCGACGACTTCTTCTCTGACAAGAGACCTGGAGGCTATCACTGCTTGGGGACGCAACAATCTTGTACAGTTCAATGCTTCCAAAACACAGTACTGTACTTTGACGAACAAAAAGCGTGTTAGCGCTCATACAGTTTCGATGGACGGTCGAGTTCTACCAAAGAGTCATTCATTTCGGCTGGTCGGAGTCCAGATCACCGAGGACCTGATCTGGCACGAACACATCTCTTCAATAGCTGCAGCTGCTGGGAAAAAGCTAGGCTATTTGTTTAGGGCTAAGAAGTACTTTTCTCCGCATGACCTTCTCACTCTATACAAGGCCCAGATAAGGCCTAGCCTCGAGTATTGCTCACACATTTTGGGTGCTGCCGCCCCGACTACATTGTCCATGCTCGATGCTGTCCAGAGGAGGGCGGTCCGACTGATCGATGACTCTTCTCTAACAGACAGTCTCGGGACTCTTTCGCACCGGCGGGTCGTCGGCGATCTAGCTCTTTTCTATCGCTACACCAACGGGCTTTGCTCCTCAGAGCTCTCTTCCATGATGCCGCCGCGCGATGTGCCTGCCAGACAGACCCGCCTGACTTCGGCATCCCATCCTAACCGTGTCAAGCTTCGTACATCCAGAACGACCGCTCCTTTGTCCCGAGGGTGTCTAGATTGTGGAACAATCTACGGGAAGAAGCTTTTCCCAGTTCTACTAACCTTAGGCAGTTTAAAAATCGTATTAACAAAATTTCTTTGGGATCATCATAGCAGCCGCGGTGTTCCGGCATTTAGGCTTCTGCCTGCGCGGCTGTTTCGATATAAAAAAAAATGCAGAGTAGGAGGCATAAAATGTTAAATGATCTAGGCCTATTTTCAGAATTCAAATATCTGTGGGGATATACGTGTATAACTCAATTTCACTCCCTACTCCTACATTCTCTCAGCATATGTTTGATAAACTGCGGCATGGAGCGATTCAGAGGTAAATGAAATTTTATCTAATTCATACCGTGACTCACCGAGGGCTATTCATAAAAAATTCATTAAGCACTGATCAATACCTGTCTAGTGTTAGATTACCTGTTACGGAAATTGAACTAGCTATGCAACTACAGTGGTAAATGGAATTAAATGATATTTCAGGGTACAGTATATAAAAAAACACCTAATATACTACCATAAAGAATCTACCAAAGCATCCGCGCTCAAACAAATCCGAGTAATGCTGCTCTATAGTTCTAAATTGTACGCCCAATATCATACACACATTTAAATATCGCTACCACCAAAATATAACAAAAAAAAAATAAATGATTTTGTTTCATTCGGCAGTTGAGAAAATCATAAGCATGATTGATAGAATGCGTGAATATTACGTCACGTCAATGAAAAACAACCAATCATAGAAAAGCGTGTAGTGAAGTTACAATCTATAGAATACAAAAAAAAACAAAAATGCCTCATGCAATGATGATAAGCAGGACCATCACCAAAATATTTGAATATCGGTTGCTTTTATAACATGTATCTCCTATGACAATGATACGCGATGACACTCTAAAATAGTTCTTGGCATTATTTGGTTTGATATTATTGATCTTTATGTTATTTTTGTAAGCTACTAAACGTGTAATTTATTGATATTGCTGTATTATTAGCTAATTTCAGTGAATATATTTTGAATTTTTGTCTACAATTATTCTTTCTGTTATTTTTATTTTTACATGAAATTGTGAAAATCTTGCACTGCAATAGCATTACTGCTTCTTGTAACAGGATACATCTATATGTTCAAAATATTGTTTTTGATGCCAAATGTCCTTTTGACTATTCATTCGCAAAAATAGTGTTTAAATGAGTAATTTTTATAGTCTACAAATGTGTTCGATGTGATGTTCACATGAAAGATACATTTACAAAAGCAGCGCCAAATAATGTATCTAGTGTAAACATTTTTTCACTAAGTGAAAATAATAAGTAAATTAAAAGAATCACTAACTACTTTATCGACAAAAAATAGAAATTAATAAACCAAAAACACTCAGATACTTACTGGGAGCTTCTGGCGCAATGAAATGCATATTTTTGAAATCGTCCTGGCACGTTTTTACATGATGGTTTATGGAATCAGGAGCAACTAGAGAAATGGAAAGATCAGAGAATTAGTAAGAATGCATTTAGCAGTGATGCGTTGGCTGATAGGCGAACATCGGATACCAACAGACCATCAAACCATTCTCGATAACCATTTTTCTATTCGACGCATTTGTGATATACCTTTATATGTTATGTTTGTACCGTAAATGAAGTGATTTCGTCATAGCATATGGAAGATGACAGCGTTTCGCAGGTACCAAGCTATCATAAGCACTTTTTAGATAGTTCAGAGCCTGCAAGACTTTGTAAGTAGTCCCATTCATCTTTATTATGAGGTAGTGGAATTAGTTTAAAAGAATTGGTAGCAAAGAGGAAGCTCACGTCGAAAATGGTTAGGGCGTGTAATGTAAGCTTCCGCTTTACAATGGATCTGTGCTCAAGCGTAATGTTGTGGGTGTAAGTGACCTCATCCGCGCCTTACATGCACTTGTCGCTTTAGCACGGATTAGCGGACGTTTCACAAAACGCGCCCCTCTTGCGTAGTTCAGCAGTGTCAGCACTCACTTGTTTTAAACACTGCGGTTTCAATGTATTGCCACGCGACAAAATAAAGTCTGTTCGTTTCACTTTGAAATACGATACGTCAATGCTACAACAGTTTCATTAAAGAATCGACCCTGATGCCAAAAACGTACATTTATTTGTTTTAGAATTGGAAGAGCAAGTGGACGAAAATATAATTACTTTCAATGTAATGTAGCACCTTCATCCACTTATCTCTTAAGAATCTTTGTATGAGAATTTATCATCACTTTGGGATCAACATTCGCAGTCAGAATAATTTAGTGTAATGCTAGCAAGACAGTGATTCAAGCAATGTAACTATCAAAGCATCATACAGTATTAAAAAGTTAAACTAACGACTTTTTTATTTCTTATTGAAACATTGAAAACATGACTAGAGCTTTTGAGATATATACTGAAAGTTTTACCTATTAAAAATCACATACATAAACGAATATTTCAATGGTTTACAATATGATCTATTATTATTGCAAAAAAATATGCTGTTGCATGAAAATTAATTTGAAGCCAAACAGCTAAAACTCGGATGCCTCTAATGAATCCATTTTTTCCAATAACGTCTGCATAGTGAAATGTCGTTCACAAACCTGCCAACCTTTCACTATCGAAAGAAAAAATGGATTTACTGAGGACACCCCAGAAATATATCATCAAAAGCAGAACATAGAAAAAAGGTTTTATAGGGAAAAGCTGAAAAAATACCTCTATGTTAATTTGAAACATCGGCAGTTATTTGTGACTGTAATATTCAATTAAGATAAAAAAAAGGAGAATATTGAGGTTGAATATATCAGTAACGCTTTAATAAGTATGGTATGAACCCTTAAAATAATACTCCGATATCAAAAACATTTTTAATTTTTCAAGTATATTTCAGATAAGTTCATGATCATGACAGTCTAGATACACCTGAGATATACTAATCATTTGAAATGGAAATATTCGTGAGGCATACAATTTCGAACATTCCAATATGGTATATAGTCTAGGTCTAGACAGTAGTCCAAAATTCTACTGTTGGTCCTCCTGCATTGTTAATGGCTTAGATTTTTCAAAAAACTTGGCGTTTACCAATTTGCATCAATAGAATGGGTGCTCAACGTTCCGTTTTCTAGATTTTTGGCTAGGTAGATGAAGATGTACCACAGAAGAATATCGGACTATCGTCTAGACGTACTGATTACCTTTCTGGAATGTCCAAAGCTGTATACATAACTTACGAATTTGTATCTGATAACATATGATTTATATTTTGTGATACATGAGATCAGACTAGAAAGAGAATAGTATGGTCAAACTGTAGCAAGGAGTGAAACTCTTTTTCCTGAAAACGATTTTGAGTATTTTTCCGAGCTATTGAAAATTATGCACAGTGAAGTTCTTTGATGAGCAACCTAGATATATATTAAACTACGGAGAAGGTCTAATAGAGTTGAGGATTGACGTACAATGGATGGTTACCAGCCACTGGATAGTCTGTAGGTGTCTTCTATGAATTGTTAATCTGGCACAAAGTTACACAAAATTACTTGTGCGAGGACGTTTTTAAATAAAGTGCATAGGAAACAATACGAAAGTTTTATTTCTGAAATTCTATGAGCAATGTTTACAATTCCGGTGTATCCACTTAACCACGAAATATATATCCTGTTAATTATAAGTGTGGTAATCTTAAAAAACCATTTTTATGAAACTATTTAGATTCTTTGTCTAAACATATACAAGGTTTTCAGATCCCCGTAGGGACTGCAATCATAAAATGTAAAGGTTCATGTCTTCAGTAAGTAGACATACATAACTAACATCCGAGAGAAATATTTTTATCTTACTTGAGACCTGGCTCCAGATATCTTAAATCATTGCTTAATTCAAGGTATTTTTATATTAATTAATTGAAACGATTTAAAAAAAAATTATATGATATTATGGTAGTTTATAATTAGATGAGCTGTCACCACAATCGATCGTAATTTTTTATGAAAAAAGCTAGAAATAAGATGAAACTTAGGACTTACTCCCAAGTGTTTTGGAAATTGTGCCTTACTGTTTGCGGTCCCTAGGATCTTATATATATACACCTTGGCTCAATTGCGCAGATTTTATTACTTTACAGAGAAGTTACAACCGGTTTCATTTTGGGGATATATACAAAATGTCTACGTTTCACACAGAAGAGAATTTTAGGTTTTACGTGAAATTGAATTAGCCTTTTTCTATGTTTGCTGGAGGATTTTGAAAAAGACAAGAATGACAACGCAACCGGTGTAAAAAAAGAAGTGAATACCAACAATCTGAACTACGCTCAATAGTCTGCTCGTCACCGATCTGCGCCTATTCAGCGTGTACCGGCGGCATTTCGGAACCAATTCATTTATTGGCGTTGATCCGTGGCAAAAGGTAGCAGAACTTTTTCATAAAAACAATAGAGATATGCATATAGAGGAGAATATGGACGTTACTCGTTATTTATCTCATATTGTAATGTTGATTTGCTTTTTGGTTTGGTTGCATTTCGAAAAAAAATTACCTGATCCGATCTTGACGAGTCCGTTGTGCTGTATAAAAATGGTATCACAGGTCAGATTGCCATGGATGATAGGTGGAGTACAGGAATGCAAGTAACTGGAAAGAAAAACAAACAGACTGCATTCTTAATACTTAGACGACAGTGTTGCCAGACTGTCAAACTATTGCAATGGATTGGCTTGATTGATGAGATGGAGTTTCGAAAATACGGCAGGAGTGGAGTTGCAGTTTTGGAATGGCTGCTGGGTTCAAGGTTCTAAGTTACAATTAGTTTTTCTGTAGGTGTCTACTGTGATGAGGTTAGTGTAGAACCAAAGGAGTATTTACTTGCTGTATTTTCGGAATTTACGAATATTATTATGGCATAATGTGCAGCCATGCACCCAATCCAAGTACCATTCGGCTAGCGATATATGCAGATGAATGACATCAATAGTGCCATCGTATTGTGTTTATAACATTTCGCAGGGCTAGAGATAAGGCTTTTACAGTGATAATTCTGCATCCAACTTAAACGCCTTAATTTCTTATGTATCCACTAGAGTACATCGAGCTAGGCGGGGCTAATGTGGTAGGAGGTTGATTTGATAGAAAGGTGAGCTGTTTATAACATAGCGTTATCTACTTCTAACTTTCCAGATTTACCCCTATTAGCAACGATCAAAGCACTAGGTTACCACTTTGTACTTGTACCATGATCACCAAGGACGAACTGGTGACAGTGGAACGACCCTGTGTTAAATATAGAAGGCCCATCCTCTCCAAGAATGGTTGATTGACAGTAAATACAATAATAGTATCATTGAAATCCAACTAAATTTGGCGTTAGATTCCCCTTGTCATGCGGCATAGCTTGTCACGTGTTACAAATGTAGCTAGTTTATAGTGACAGCCTTTGCCTTTCGTAGATACAATTTAAGGTGAACCGCCTAACCGTCTTTGGTGTTATTCCCATCATAATTTGACAACTGATACTTAATGTCGTTCTCGTGATCAGTTTACAACTGATACTTACTGAGGAAAAATGTAGAGTACACACAAGATTGGTGAAATATTCGTTCTCATCGCCCATAGAGAAAAAATAAAGCTGCTGTCCCTAGACATAAGCAAGTGCTACTTTTCTACTTCCTCATTAAGATAATAAAGAAATCATATTATGGCGTAGATGCAGATGTATCCGCATGGTTGTAAAATAAGCAGGTGTACTTTGCGAAGTTTATTTTACACATCATTTCCAAAAACATTCGTAAGTTCAGAAATACTAGGATATGCAACTATCTGTAGTTATTTCAAGTTTTGTTGCCTATTTTCTTTCTCTCTCTTTTTGGACTTGCTTTTAATTCAGATAATTATTGTTTTTTGCATCCAAGATATCCTTTTAGTAAATTTGCAGTACACTTCTTATTTAAAGTTTATCAGTATATCCAACCGCGCTTACCTTAACACAATGATCTTCCACCTAAAAGTAATTTAGTTTTTTGATTAAATAGGAGTCAAATATACCTATCATCTGTAGCCAAATCCTGTAGTTTTGTCTCGTTTCCTACGTTTTCCAGTTCACTAAATTCCACTTCATAGTTTTCTCGATGGAAGGACTATTTATCCTGAATCTTTTGGGACCCTTTGCCAACTCTACCAGGCTTTCCTAGAAACAATCTAGCAAAACATCTATCCAACTATGACAAATTATACTGCAATTTTACCAAAAGGATACGATGATTCCCTGAGAAAAAGGAAGCTACAGTAACATGTAAACTGAATATGGAATATGTTAACCATTACATAATTTACTCAGTAAATATTTATTCTAATAAAATTCCAGTTTCATTTCAAGTCTCTGAAACGTCGTTCCATTGCTGTGTTTGTGTCCGCATGCATGCATGCCTCAATTCAAACAATATCGAAATGACATCAATTTAGAGTTAGTACAAAAATAGTACTGTTTCCATTACCACTTGTGTGAATCATTGTTGCGATTGATTATCAAATAACTTGCTGCAAACAACATCCAACTGTTTTGTTTCTGAAAACTCCAGATTTTCTTTCCTTTATTTGCATGAATACTCCTTCGATTCTTGTACTATCCAGGTAGGTAGGAAACATACTACTATCTATTTAGTCAGACCACCAGTATGAAAACAGCATTCACGACTGTGGGAAAGGGTTAACATGCAGGTGGCAAACATCTAAATTTGGAAGAAAGAAGATATGCTATTCGAAAAAGCTGACGATAGGTGGTCAGACATGAACTAAAACTGCAATTTGTTGAAAGTAAATTAACCAAGGAACTACCTACCATTACGAAGAAATTGATGCATTTTGTGAGTCATACGTCATATCAAATATCAATGTGGAAAAATCGAGTTTATATGACGATGAGTGGTTCCTAATTTGAGAACGAATCAAGGTAGTTTAGTTAGCTTATTTGTAACCATAGTTATTTGTTTGGATTTCATGAAATATTTGAATGGTGCCATTAAAAAATGTTTTTTCTTATTTGGTCATGTAGGTAAAATGAAGTGATTTTTTAAAAACACACATTTTTGTTCATCATCAATTTATCATTGTCTGCTAGAACCGTCATAAGATATTTTTTATGATATTAGTTAAAAGTTTTGTCGGTTAATCTGTACCTGTTTCTATTATACTGAATTATATTGCCTGTTTTACTAATTAAATCGACAATGTGAACGTTCACCAATACAAAAGTAGTGGGTATATGTATAATATTGGCTTATAATTTTAATTATCAGGGTTGGATCCTTATAGAAGTATTTTCCGAAAAATGATATTTACAAAATCTCGAACATAACATGTATGTATATGTATAGATCTGAGACTTTTCGGAAGAACATTTCAGTCCGGAAATACTGTTATAAACTTTGATAGTCTTAATCACTTAACAAGCTAGTTGTTCAGTATTATTCTTATACACTGAAAACCAAATACCACTAACGAGGAATGTGTACGAGAGAGAAGCGCGAGAAGAGTGCAATACGTGTGTTAGGAAGAGACAGAAGCACCTCGTTGCCTAGCAACCCGAGAACGACGTCACGGATGCCTTCGGCGCACTTTCTAACATACTTATTGCACGCTTCTCTCTCGTACACATTACGACGCCAGCCAATTTTGAACATCACCGTATACAGTATTTATTAAAAAGTTTATTTTCCACACTTTTATCTGAAAATGCCGTATGACAACACCTACTATATCGACTGGCGTATCCAGAAAAAAGGTCCGGGGATGACTTAAGGGTGGATCCAGCCGTTGGGTGAGGGGGGTGAGTAACATAAACCACACGTATTATATGAGGAATAACGGGTTAGGCCGTGGGGTTGTGGAGGGGAGAGCGGTGGAGAATTAGCACCAAAGCCCCCTGAATACACCAATGACAACATCTAAATAAAATCGAATGTCTACTATCAAAACTCATAGAACAAAAAACATCAAAAGGAAGATGTAGCAACACATAAGGATGAATATCTGGCAACGCTGCATCATGACGAATGCCGACCAATCTTCGTAGCCCGCTGTTGAATCAATGTAGTGTTTGCCCTGTTTTACCGAAATGTCCCAAATATGAAACGCGTAACTGTCTGTGACATTTGAGACTTGAAACCCGGTACCAACACGCAATAATCATACTTACGAAACAATCACAAATGAGACAGACAGTTTATACATTTACATAATTTTTTCGGAATTTTGTTATAACGGACAGGCACATTTGTCTGTAACAATTGAATAAGAAAATCATCATTCATCTATCTTATCATGAGTAATTATCCAGTTTGCATTTTTACTCACTTACCTCACGCGTACTCTGTGAATACAAAAATATACATAGTGCTACAGATAGGTGTGTCCACGCTGTCAGTCGCCGCACATACTTACAATTGTATCGACTGGCGTGGACTCCCAAAGAGACAATATATAACTTACATACTAAGATTACATTATAAAAATAGTAATATTACAGGAATCTTACAAACTATAAGGGAAAACGGCGAAAAATAGTGATTTTAGTTGAGAATCGGCGATTGCTGTATTTACCTCAGTGCTGAGAGGATTTGGGTACACCACCTTTTCCATGCTTGTAATGGCAGCCTTTTGACGTTTCGCTTCGTTCGCTTCAGGAACTGTTTCAGGGAACCGGATGACATGTATTCAGTTATGAAGATTACCTAAAATAAATAAATCATTATCCATTTCATCTACTTGAGAAAACATTGTTATTTTTCGTCAATACATACTACATGAATCGATGCTACACAACTACTGATCAACTAAATGGTACAATTTGTTTTAATCGACATCGAATGTCGTAGGTATGTATGGTGTCTAACAGGTGCTCATAGAATGTTTTAATATCATGTAAATAGTTTGGACATAAAGCCGTCAATGGTTAGATATAAATCTACTTTCAAATTACATATACTATTAATAGATTTACAAAACTTGAAACATAAGGCCCATCGAAAACTGATGTCAAACATTTTTTGATATATTAAAAATTCATACATAAAATAATGATGTTTGAGGATATTCTGTTTGTTGACCTGCTTAGAAATTTTTGATTTTTCAATAACTTAAATACTCCACTCGAAGTATGGTTTGAGGTTTTCTCATCGATATGAGATTCCTAATGGAGGTATTTCAGGATGGTTTATAAAAAGAAAATCGGTATGTGCCAGTCTGACGAGGCGCCAATATTGGTTAAACATAAAGAAATAAAAAAATGCGATTTCATCAGTTCCTGATTTTGTATCGTTTCTAACAAATTTACGTGTCCAATGCAAAAGAAAAAAAAATTGTTTACTAGTTTTAAAAAGACAAATATGACATGCATTTTGCAAAATGACGTCGTAAATCCACTACTGATAAACAAAACAAAAAAAAATAATAAAAAAGCTAAACAAAAGTTTTTTAGCTTTATCTTTGTAGATTTGTCTATTTTATTTGCATTGTTATAAGAACTCAAAAATATTATCAGATTCAGACTGATAAACGGTGGAAAACATTTTTTTCCGATAACGGCTTGTCGATATTCTGCCATTTTTGCTGTTTCAAAACATGTGATTCTAATAACCTGTCACGTTTTCACATACACTATTTGGTTCCTAAAATAGGATTTTAATAAGAAATAAGATAAATACTCAGAGATTATTAAGCATGCAAAGGCGCATGCCTTGGACTGTGTGGACGTGTTTGCTCACAGTGAGCATTCGCGTCATACGATCTTTGCGAACGCCGCGTGCGAGCCTTGCGCTCCGTGTGGACGGACGCCTCACGATGTCTGTATGCGCCTTTAGGTACTTGAGGCTGCATTTTTTAAAAACTTTTAGACAATTATTCAGGTGTTATTGACTAGTTTATGTTTCATATTTGGCTTGTGGCCTTTGAAAGGAGATTAATATAACATACTTATTGGCCTTAACGGTTTATTGCCGAGATAAAGATAAAGTTCGGCCGCCCTCACCTCACCATTTGATAGCTGTCTTGAATTTTGCGTGAACACTTTTCTACTCCCCTAATTTATTCACTTTCTGAATATTTGATTTTGTAATGATGCAGTTGATCAAAAATTTAAAATGAGGATTTCCACATAAGAATCAAATGGAACGCTCCATATTTTTTGCATTATAGAATCTATTTTTGTGGCTTAGAATTGCTACATATACTAACCCGGGGCTTGTCGTTATGCGTGTCGGTCCAGTACCGATGGAACTTGACAATGTTTGGATGGTCTAGCTGGGTGAGATTTTCAAATATCATCTGAATCTTTTCCTCCTGATTCTTGAAGTTCTTCCTCTCGGAGAATTGAACCTCATTCCATACCACCTCAACGCCTTCCTCGGTGTCCATAGCGAGATATGCGCAGTCGATCCCAGGCACATCCCGTTGATCCACCTGTTAAAAAAATGATTTGGTTATATAGCTTCTATTGAGGAGAACATGTCAGATTTGACAAGTCAAAGCATCGAAGTTACACTATGATATAATGATTTTATTTTTTATATTTTGCATGTGAAGACAAGTACAACTCGGTCCATACTTCATCTATTGTATTTTTATTGCCAAAAATGCGCAAGAAAGAATATTCACTTTCGAATATATCAAATGCGAATAAGAAAACCAACATTGATTTGCATAAGTAAAATGTGCCCCGAAAGTGACACATAGATAATGGTAGTTGGTATTGAGACTATTCGAAAGTTCCATTTTCGAAACAATACATAAGTATGTTAAACGGCAATTTAGAATTCACAGATAAATAAAAGATTCTATGTGTAACGTTTGATGAACATTTGAAATTCCATAATCATGTCAACTGTATTATACAGTGCAGGTGTCAGTAAGACCGATTGTGGCTTCTGTTGAATCAGCCACACTAGCTTTATCTTCATTAATTGCAGATACTCCAAAGTCAGCTCACATCAAAGGAGAATACTTTATAAAAGACTCTTTTGATGTTTGTCAACAATTTAATAGGTTTCGAATACCCCCTGATCATGTTATTGCGAGTCTAGATGTAGTTTCACTGTTCAGTAATGTGTATTTAGAAGCTTGCATCAGATCCATCAACAAACATTGGGATCAAATTTGCCAACAGAGTAACCTAACTCTGGATTCTTTCATCAATATCGTAGAGTACCTTTTCCAGAACAATTATTTTACTTTTAATAACAAAGTGTTTTCACAAACACATGGTTGCCCCATGCGCTCTGTGTTGTCTCCAATTTTGGCAGAATATGTAATGGATGACCTGCTTGATGTTGTTATTCAAGTATTGCCATACAATCTAATTTTCATAAAAAAGTATGTGGATGATATTATCGTTTGTCTTCCTTATGAGAGGCTGGATGATATTGTTGAAGTTTTTAACAGTTATGATCCCTACATCCAGTTCACCATCGAAAAAGAAGATGACAATCAATCTGTTCCGTTTTTGGATTCAAGATTGATTCGCTCCAATGACAATATATTACTGGTAGACTGGTACAGGAAACCAATTTGTTCCGGAAGGTTCCTGAACTTCAGGTCTTACCACGAACTTAAAATAAAAATAAACCTGGTGAAACAAATGAAGAACAGGGTTATATAAATCTCTGACAGTACTTTCCATCTTTACAATTTAAGGAAGCTTTCAATCTTATTTATCAACAATAGCTATCCGAAGTATTTGGTTAACAGAATCTTGTTCAGCACTCCTCCGAATATTTTGCCAGTGACGAATAACAATAGTGAAAATGACAACACTGTTCAGTCCAACCAGACACCCATGAATTCTTCAACCAATGAGAATAACAGCACTACAGTGGTTGCTCCTATTTCCAGAGTTAATTATGTTGTCTTGCCATACATCAAAGAACTAACACCAAAATTGATCAGGCTGTATAATTCCTTTAATTGTCGTTTTGCTTGTAAATCAGTGCTCACAGTCAACAGTTTTTTTTTTTTTAGGCCCACAACTAATCTATAATCATACTTTCATACCTCTTAAAATATAACATAGACAATCAATTGAAAATGATAACACATCCAGGAATATTGTACATAGATTGTTGTCCCCCCTCTCCACGTGTAGCGGAAGTAGGAGGTTATAGACTGCATTCCGATTGTTTTCCTAAAATGTCATCTCATGTTTAATAATTTTTAATATGTTCGGGTCTATTGATATTTAGAACATGTAACGAAGGTATCTGTCGTTATCAACAAGCCCAATGTCTCTGTCCTTTTGTTTTTATACAAGTTTTAACTTCTCTACGTTCGTTTTGAAACACCTTGTGGCTGCAACCTCAACGACAAGTAAGTTGTTTGACAATTTAAACCTGTCCTGTATCCTTTGCTAGCATCACAACTGTGTTTTCAGAATCGTGGTGAAGGCTCCATAGAGAATGCCGAAAGCTTGATTTTATCGTCAAAAGAGTCAACTTAAGCCTAAAAATTTGCCAATTTTCCAATTAACAATTAATTGTATTTTGTACCCAACTGGTCGTTGGCTTAGGCAATGACTACTGCTCATGCTCATATATATATTCAGGTGAATAATGGATACTAATTAAAAAGAATGTCAGGCACCTGCTACTAGCAGAGTGATATAGATAGTTTCATGATTTGATTTTGAATTATTCTCTAACTTAATGTATAATTTTCTTTCTTAACAGGGTTAAATGATAAAGTAGCCGTTGGCTAAATTTCACCCTAATAAAGCCGGAATTAGAAACAGTTTTCCCTTGAAAAGTTGACATTGTATTTTAATTCGAAAAGTTAGCTAGTTTCGCAAAAGAAGTAGAAGGTGCATTTTAATGTTAAATTATTCTCTTAAATGAGTACATGGAATATTTCCAATACCTACATTCTAGAATTGATTCAAAAATAAGTAGCAACCTACAGAAGGATTAACTAAATTCTAACAAACCAGTTGTATATGCCTATCGACGAAAACAATTCCGCCAATATCATGGTCATGATGCATTTTCTTAAAATCCAACAATCACCCCTAGGATAATTCCAATGAGTTTTTAAACATCCTGTACGTTGGAAGGAAAAAATCGACCGGAAAATGCATTGAAAAAATCTATATCTTTGGCATATTCTCAGCTACCATGCTTTGACAAAATGAGGTACCTGTATACTAGATGATAATGAATTTCACCTAATACATGGTCGGTATTGGACTCAAAAAACCTAAAAATCATTCATCATTTATCTGAAAATGGACAACGGAATCTCATTTTTCATTTTAATAAATCTTTATCCATTTGAAAAGAGCGATGAACTGCTGTTGGTCTGGGAATCACAATATCCAATATCCTTTGCTAACACCAAAAGAAAATATATTTTCCCTCATTATAGAGACGCAAAAACCTTTTTTCGGTGCAGAATAGGGTTTAAAATGCCAACTATTCTTGGCTTCACGTGCATATTTTGATTCACCGGTATATGCAATTTTTTGTTAATTAGCACTTTAAGCCAACTAAAATCCCACTAGATATCATTTATTGAGTTGTCAGGAACTAAATTTTAACGAATCTTGATATAAGTTCATTAAAATTTATAAATATGCCTAGAAGAGTGGCGAGGAACAGCTTTGTTTCAAATCAGTGTACACATAAATTACTTTATTTCTCGCGCCGACATTTGCTATTGGAGTTAATAAAAAAAAGATAAAGAGAAATTATTGACGTGTTATGACCATTGTTCCGTCCCTGCGGTGAACTTTTAAGTCGAAAGAAAATAATTCCTGGATTATTGAAATTTGATAATAAATGTCTAAAGAGCCATCTACCTATTATTACTTTAATTATTATACAAAAGAAAGAAATTCCACTGCAGTTGGTTGTAAACTTCATGTAATTCAGATACAGTTGACACTAATGCATTTAACATGTTAAGAGAGATATATTGTCTAGTATATTTGATCTACATCTCGTGTTTCAAATGGTTATCTTCTATTCCAGTGCATGTACAGCAGTACGAACATGTAACTGGTTCAAATTATTGGGCCAATATGAGAAAAATAGGTCAATGCTATTAGTCGTTTTTTCCAACAATGAATTTCTGACAGTACCGAATGGTCATTTACAACGGCAGTACAGCGTGCATCTAGGCGACATCATATTTGATAGTCTATGTCTATGATGTAAAAAAGCTCCATGTTGTGAATAATCGAGTCATTGACGTACCGTGCATTCAGAATAAAGCTATTATAAGTTTTATGAATCTAAAGATGTTTATATACAGTCGTTTGTACATATATTGTTTCACACGTATTTGATTCGTAATAATTCCATCCCCTCTAGGACATTCTAGACGGGTTAAAGAAATATTTCTTTCTTTTTACGAAGCATCATTTTTGTGTTAAAATCGAATAACTTAGTTTTTAAAATACTACGATAGCTACGCCAGTGGTTCATCGAACTGGCCCATGAGCAAATAAAATCAAGACCTCATGTGCAATCGGAAAACACCGGCGGAAACTGTTTGGCAAATGATTGATATTCCATATCACGTAAAGCTGCATCACGCGGGTTTTATTTATTTTTCTTTAATGACGTCGAAACATTTAAATTTAGCAAACTGTGTCTGTGAAATTGCAAACTATGAGATTCCTTATTATGTTATGTCGACGTTCGGCACATGGAGTTGCTTATTGTTAAATGTGGGAATGCTGGTAGGAGGGTCGTGCCTTATGTTTGATCACTTGACCTCATGCAGATGCTTATTTGATGAATGTTGTTAACATTAAAACAAGTGATCTTAGTAGGCTATATTATCAGAATATTAATTTTATATGTCAAACTGTTTTGACGTTATGCGGTTTACATGTGATAAGGATTCTAATATAAATTCTTTAAAATATTGTGACGACTATTGGCGGATATGAAGTTCCTTATGGACATAGTATAGTCAAACGCTGGTGCTATAGCTAACCTACACTCAGCAGATATTAAATTGGTAATTGCCCATCAGATTCGCCAGTATTGGCATTCAGAGTAATTTTATAATGTTTTCAAAATTAAAACATCATTTACGAGACAAGGAATTATAAAATGAGCAACAGTCGCGCAAAAAAAAATAACGGGAGGCTATTGAAATGCTGGAGCACCGTATAAGCAAGAGCATTGATATTAGAATGGATTAAGCAGAAAAATGACAAATAAGCAGTAATACCGATCTAAAACGGTGTAATTTCGGTCACGACTATATCCTGGGACAGAACTCATGATTTATCGCAAATCAACAGAGAGAGAGAGACGTATAACATAGTTTTATTTGAAATGCAAGTGTGTCGTTTAACGAGCAGACAATTATGAATCTAGCAGGTTATTCGATATTTTGTTGTTGGTTGAAGCAATGACGAGATTGACAAAAACATGGCGCCAAGGAGGCTGCTTCTGCACTTCCCATGCAACGCTGCCATCAGTTCATAAATTGTCCAAGTTAGCTACAAACTTGCATAACAAGAAAATTAAATGGATCAAGCCAGCCAAGCAGCCCATATATAATTAGCACACACTTCATAGCGCCCATCCATTTGATATCGTTAACGCTAATTTCTTCCTTTCCCTAAATATCGATCATCTGGCGACCCCTATATTTTTTTACATGAACAGGTCGTTCTGAAAAGTCAAATGTCA